GTTCATTTTATCGCCTATTTTCGGTATAGTCCGGGGAATATGCCCTTCGTCGTCGAAGACATAGGGAAAGAGAACATCGTGCCCGTGAGACTCCTGAGCAGAGAGGCTCTTTTGTATGAGCGTCGCTTTCATGATAGGGAACGCGCAAATTTTTACACGCTGCCTAGCTGTCTTATCGATGCGAAATATGGCTGGCCAAACAACTCTCGTCTATTTGCTGGCATTCGCTACGCTCTTCGATACCTGACCGAGGATGTCTATACCTACTTCCAATCTTCTTGATTCTAAGGTTCAAGTTGTAGGATGGCTCGTGCAGATAGAGTCATTGTGTGCTCGCTCCCGCTCGCCAAAAATGCCGTGCATTCGCCTACTAGTATCTCAAAGTTTTCATGTCGTTGTAGATCAACCTACTGTATTTTCAACCCTGAGTCGCACACCCTTCGCTAAATAACTTAACCCTGCTCTTTACGGACAGTTTATAGTGGCTGTGTGGATTTTGTGCATGTACGCGCGCACACACACACACACCACACACACACGCACGCACACACACAGAGTACACTGAAGTGCAAACCCTCGGCGCACTGTGACGCGCACGCGTAAGTAAACGCATGCGCCGTGCCACTAATTGATGGGCTGGGTTTAGTTTTAGCTGTCACTTATGGTCTCTTCCCAGCTCGCGCAGAGTCTTCTGACACGGGCTAACTAGATAACATGCGAGAGGCGATACACACCCTGCGTTGCATCTTCTGGTGCCTCCGAAGTACGCAGAGCACGCGGATCGCTCCGACTGTGGTAAGCCATCCCGTCCGTTGTGTATAATTTGCATATTGGCTTTTTCGCGCTCTAGCTTTGCAACGGAGCAGTTTCAAAGAAAACTGTTCGAAATGTCTGACCTTCATTGCCCGTTAAAGTAGGTCGTATCCTTTGTGAGAGGAACAAACACCCGAGAAGTGAGATTGAGAGGAGTAACAGACACACAGACAGACAGACAGACAGACAGACAGTCAGACAAACCCAACTACAGTACCCTCGCTGCACATGCGCGCCGAGGGTTACAAATCCCCCTTGCCATCCCGATAAAAGCCACGCGCATGCTCAGCCACCCACGCAATTATTGCCACTCCGCGCACACGAAGATGCCAGCAGGTATGACCCAAGGCAGGTATGTGTATCTTGTCTAATCTTGTCACAACAAGGCAGTAAGGGTGTAGGTAAACTTCCTGTGTATGCATACTACCTTCTTTTACTGTCACAACCTAAAATAGGACTTTAAAAAACGGACAAACTGAACTATGGCATGACAAGCGATACCTTAACGCTGTAACGTTGAACTCTCGAGAAATGACCACGGCTTCTGTACAACCGCCCAGCTTGACTAAACTAAAGCGCTTATTGCAGTTGTCTCTCTCCTTATCGATTGCTAGCTAACTAGCTCTCCGTACACTCCAGGGTGTGCGTTAAAAAGAGGGCGTTTTGAGAGCTTTTGCGCAATCTCGTTGGTCAGAGCCTTACCGCCGGATGTCATCATACAAACACGTTATTCGATGGGCATTGGCTTGTGGTCTACTGATTGCACACTCGTGGCTTCAGTTTTGATAGACCACTCGGGCTACGCCCTCTTGCCCTATCAAAACTAGCCACACGTATACTGGCAGTAAGGATGATACAGTGGGAGAGTGAAGATGAAATTTCCCCTAATCCCTAGAATCACCACCACTAGTATGTAGCTACCACCATAGAAACCTCTGCAAAGGACCCTCAGAATAAGGACACCTCTCACTTGGTTCTGCCCCATACTAATACACTCCCCCTACACACCTGCCCCCAGTGTACATAAACAAAAGCCCCTTCACCTCTCCTCCATACTTTCCCACCAAAACTTCCATTACAAAGTAGGGCCATTCTTTTCTTGATCTGTAAGCCATAGCTACTCTTTACTACTATAGAGCCATTATACTCTTGCTATTTACTACTATAGAGCCATTATACTCTTGATCAGTAAGCCATAGCTACTCTTTACTACTATAAAGCTTTAGCTTACTACAGTGTATACACCACTTACATGCCACACAATTTCCCCATAAAGTATCTTGTACACACCTTACAAGGGTGCTCTAACTATTATACACACTGTGGTGTATGTTGCTACACCGCTATTGTATATAACTGTAGTACAGGGGCAGTAAGGATGATACAGAGGGAGAGTGAAGATGAAATTTCCCCTAATCCCTAAAATCACCACCACTAGTATGCAGGGTTCTCCTTAGAGCGCGTAAGCGCGGCGCAGTTCCGCACATTAATTCGCCGCGCATTAGCTAACACCCCCCGCGAGGTATTGAAAATTAGTGCGCGAGTACACACACGGAGCACGTTTTCTGAAGAACGAGAGCGAGATAATGGCGAAGATGGTGAAGATCACAAGCTATTTTACACGTAGCAGTGAGCCAGATGAGTGCAACAACATTGAGCTTCTGCCTGAAGGTGATAATCTGCTACTCTGGGAGAGTGTCAGGATGGGACAACATGGTAGTGACAACGAGATGAGCACCCACAGAATAGCGACAATGAGCTCTCTCAAGCTATAGAAGCTTCCTCCGCTCATTAGTTTTCTTCTAGGGAGAACCCTGAGTATGTAGCTACCACCATAGAAACCTCTGCAAAGGACCCTCAGAATAAGGACACCTCTCTATATCAAGGACACTTGGTTCTGCCCCATACTATAATACACTAGTGTGTTATTAACCCTCGGCGCGCATGCGCAGCGAGGGTTACAGTACTGGGTTTGTCCGTCTGTCCGTCTGTTACCACGTTTTCTGCCACCACGCGCAACAAACAGGTAAAATAGCGACACCAACGGGTTCAGTGCTACACTGGCTTGATTTTTAAAATGCCGATTTTCGTGTAAAAGTGCCGCGTTCAGAAGTTATGGCGTGAAAACCAAGTGAACAAGCCAATATGCTAATTAGCACTAACTTACCTCGACCTGATCCGCTTTATCTGTGTACCTCGGAGGCACAAGAAGTCACAACGAAGGGCGTGTATCGACTCTCGCATGCTATCTACTACTGTAGCTAGCCCGTGTCAGACTCTCCGCGAGCTACTAGCGGGAGATCACGGGTAAACGCAGACTAATAGGCCCAGCCCATCAATTAGAGGTACAGCGCATGCGCAGTTCGCCGAGGGTTTGCACTTTAGTGCTTTTCATTATAACGGTGAATTAGAATCCGCCTGTGCCTGTCCCCTGCAAACGGAATCGGCATTGAGCCTTACTTCTTGTTGCTGCATTTGCAAATAATATTATACGTTTAGAGTAGTGAAAATAAAACGCCATGCACGAAGACAAAGACGAGAGCTGCATTCGACCTTTTGACCCACCACGCCTGGCCGGTGAGACCGGCGGATGCGCGCACCACAAATACTATTCCACACAATCTCAGATTAGTATATATATTTGTCTTTACGTTCTCTCAATCAGTCATAAAGTTTTATCTTCTCAGCTCTACCTGTACCAACGTCACTCTTCAAAGCAGCAAGGAAATAGTGTGGCTGAAGTCCATTGCAAGACTCCAGTGAAAGATAAAGATGGCAAACGTATTACCCCTTCACCAGAGACAAAAGAGAACACAACAGAAGTGGTTTATAATAGCCAAAAAGAGAAAGGCAACTTCTGTTAGTCCTTAGTGTATGTCATAAGTTATAAGTAGCTACTCCCAAATAGAAGCTTGTTTCTCTCTTTCTCTCGTTTAGCTGTGCATGCAGTATAAATACAAGCTGTGTATATAATATATATACAAAATACTCTTCACTCACCATTCAAGTAATGGAAGAACTGCTACATGAAGCCAAGAGCTGACATGTATATACCTCACCAGGTAGATAGTTCAACATGTAGAGACAATCTTGCCTTACCAACTTTACCAGTACAAAGGATGAAAATGGGTTTTGAATTGTGTTATATACGTAAAAGGGAAAGTAAATTTTGAGCTGGTAAAGACCTGAATAGCTAAGTATTATAATGTATATACTGAACTGTAGTAAGAGCATCAGGTAAGGACAATTTGGATAACAAAAGGGAAAGGAGAGCAATAGACTGCTGGGATTCATATAGGTGGATACATCTTCCAATGGAGAAAAGCCACGTCAGCGCAGTGCACACACTCTTGACAGACAGTGAGAGCTGCGAAAGACTGCCCCTGCTCTGCAGTGTGATGCGCAACAGAAGAACATCCTCCAACACAAAGAAGATTACTGCATTAGCTGCACAAGAAAACGGATAAATAGTGCGAAAAATGGGCTTCAGACTTGACTAACTCGTGTGCACTATGTGATTTTCGTTGGATGCGCATAATTGTGGCGACGACTCCGAGACAGAGCCCCGATATGACGCCAAGTCCAACGTTGAGTGCATCGTGAGAGATGGGAAGTCGGCTGTATAGATGTATATATCGCAAGAACTACCAGCAGGAGCGCCCCCGTGTGTATCCCGCAGCGGAATATGTATATACTGCTCGGGCGGATTCTCTCCGCATTCGCTGACGGTCGGGCGGGAGCCAGGGAATCACGTGACCGTCGGCCACGGCGATGACGTTCGTTGCAGACGATGATGTTGCCCATCAGCACCAGTGCTCCGAAATGGACGAGCCACGTGCACTTTGCCGGGATCTTACACAGGACTATATTATGCCATCTTCTCAGACTGCTAGATCTCTGGCTAGGCGGCTCTCTGCAGTCAATCATATGACAACGCCCACGCCACGCCCATATATGTGCGCGCATGCGCGCTCGAGAAGCATCCTGTGCGAAATATATAAAAGCAATGCGCCGAGGGTTTGCACTTCAGTGCTTTTCATTTCTTACGGAATATTGTGCAAGCCTAGAGGGCTAGCCGGTTTCCGTTTCGCCGTAATAGTTGCGCAGAGATTCTTTTCAAAATGGTTTCACTGGCCGTGGAGCAGATGTGGTGGAACGAGTTGGGTTCGGCCATGGTTATAACTTCTTACGATTCAGCCACTGGTGTATTTGGTGGAAAATACTACAGTAAAGTTGGCGAAGCCGAGAATTGGTACGTGTTGACTGGTCGCAACGACACAGCAGGGACAACCCTGGGGTGGACAGTAAACTGGAAGAATTCAAGTCACAATGCTCACTCCGTAACGACTTGGTCTGGTCAATTTCAATTTCCTCCCGACGGGAAGCCTGCTCTAACTACCACTTGGCTACTCACCGCTCAGACCAACCCAGAGGACAACTGGGAGTCTACCATGGTGGGTTTTGATCGATTTTATCTCACGGAGCCGCCATATGAGATCAAGGAGAGGGCTAAGCTGCACTGCAGAAGAAGTCATCCAGAAGAAGCTTGATCTATTACTAAGTAGTGAACACAGGATGGTGTGATGCACTGTAGCTATAGCCAATACTCTGTTGTATATACCCCTGAATATTTTAGCATTTGTGGTGGCTGTATAATTAACCCTCGGCGCGCATGCGCAGCGAGGGTAACGGTAGTTGGGTTTGTGTGTCTGTCTGTCTGTCTGTCTGTTACACGTCATCTCATTTCTCGAGTGTTCGTTCGTCTCACAAAGGATACCACCTACTGAACGGGCGACGAAGGTCAGAAAATATGTGGCGTTTTCTCTGAAAATGCTCCTTTGCAGAGCTACAGCGCAAAAAAAAACAATATGCAAATACACAACGGACGGGATGGGTCTGATCGATCCGCGTGCTCCGCGTACCTCGGAGGCACCAGAAGATGCAACGCAGGGCGTGTATCGCCTCTCGCATGCTATCTAGTAGTGTAGTTAGCCCGCGTCAGACTCTGCGCGAGCTGTCAAGAGACCACGAGTAACAGCTAAAACTAAACCCAGCCCATCAATTAGTGGAATACAAACTACATCCGTTGCAGCTCCAATGCGCGCTGTTTAGGGGCAGGCCATAATCTGCCGTTTGAATTTGGAGACGTCAACATGGCTCTTACAATGAAGAAACTTTTTTGTTCCAAGCAGTTTCAAGGGGCCCGAGTGTGTGTAAGAGCACGTTCAACAAAACGATTTTTGGTGTTGGGGAGTCATCACGGCTAGCTAGCTATAATAATAGTACATAGCAAACAGTTATAATTATACACTGCTAAAAATCTGCTATTGGGAGTAAGTCCAGTCTTACTGGAGTAATGAAAAGCACTGAAGTGCAAACCCTCGGCGCACTGTGACGCGCACGCGTAAGTAAACGCATGCGCCGTACCACTAATTGATGGACTGGGTTTAGTTTTAGCTGTTACTCATGGTCTCTTGCCAGCTCGCGCAGAGTCTGACGCGGGCTAACTACACTACTAGATAGCGTGCGAGAGGCGATACACGCCCTGCGTTGCATCTTCTGGTGCCTCCGAGGTACGTAGAGCACGCGGATCGATCAGACCGTGGTAAGCCATCCCGTCCGTTGTGTATTTGCATACTGGCTTTTTCGCGCTGTAGCTCTGCAACGGAGCATTGTCAGAGAAAACCCCACATATTTTCTGACCGTCGTCGCCCGTTCAGTAGGTGGTATCCTTTGTGAGACGAACGAACACTCGAGAAGTGAGATGACGAGTAACAGACAGACAGACAGACACACAAACCCAACTACCGTAACCCTCGCTGCGCATGCGCGCCGAGGGTTAATGAAGTTCTAGGTCCAATGGGATAATGTGTTAAAAAGTTTATAAAGGGTTTATTGTTTCAGAGGGATGTGAACTACAGATAATCGAGGGGCAGACATGGTACAATGAACTTGGGTCCAAAATGGTGATAACTTCAGCTGACCCTGCCACTGGCGTGTTTGGTGGTTTATTCAACAGCAAAGTCGGAGATGTTGAGAAATGGTACGTGCTAACTGGACAGCAAGACACAGATGGAGATACAGTTGGTTGGACTGTCAACTGGAACAACTCCTACAATCATGCACACTCGGTGACAACATGGCAGCAATTGAGGGGTAGTGACCCTGTCATTCTGACAACATGGCTTCTTACACGTCAGACCAGTCCTGAAAATGACTGGGAATCCACACAGATTGGATTCGACCAATTCTTCCCCAATGACCCTTCTCCTGAGACAAAAGAACAGGCCAAGTTTCACCGCCGAAATAGCCATCCAAAGGATGCATGAACTAGCTGATAGAAGGACACTGGACAAAAATGAATTATAATATAGATAAAGTAGCTATACATTAGCAAGGAAGTGTGTAATTCGGTTAAGAATCACTTCACAAAACCCATCCAAATGCAGTGCGTGAATTAGCTGCTAGAGTAGGAGAGAGTAACAAAAATTAAACTCAACAAACAGAGTAATTTCTGTGGTTGTTACTGATAGAGTACACCATTGAAGGATATCAGTGGAATTCAGATTTACTACTACCATCTCACTGTATAATAGAGGCTACTAGAGTACAAGGGAGAACTACAAAATAACCCTTTCTGCTGCACGTAGCTAGCTAATCGGAAAATATTCGTACTAGCTAGGATACAATAGTGCGGTATAGTTTAACTTCACACTATGCATGCACAAAAAAGCAGTAATCCCCTTTTGCTGTATAGGTGGACCCATATATATACTCCCAGAGCTCAGTAACAGATCATGTGGTCCAAACATTATGTGTTCTCTTCCTATATAAAAACTTTCTCACATGCGGACAGCACTCGCACTCTCTCTACAAATTTCGGACTGTACACTTCAGATTAATCTTACGCCATATCTTCCAAGGCCTCACACTGAATTCCAACAAATTCCTGGCTTCTGCCGGGATAAACAGACCGTCCTGTGAGCCTTCTCCAATTACACTTGGTTGTAGTTACTGCCAAGAAACGGTTGGCCAAAATTCTTATGTCAGTGTTTAACACTCCCTGGTTTCGGACAGTGAAGGTTTTAGGCCCATGAGCAACGCAATTTCCAGGCAGTCGTCCAACTAGATCCGCAACTTTGAGGTAGAGCACAATAACTTTTCTACATAATATTAATGATTTCAGAGTATGATGACTGTGGACTGTGTTAGTAAAAGGAACCCTTGGAAAAGTTTACACTCTCTCTGACCTCCCTTCTTTCTCTTAACAAACGATACCGGTTGAGCTTATGGAAGGTAGAACAGGGGTTGAGAGTGATTGTCTGGAATGGGATATTACGCTTATTAGTGAGTAGGATACATTTGGTGATGTTGAAAGACAGCATGTTCTCCTGAGACCACTGAAATAGGCAGTTGATGTCTCGCTGAATTTCAACGTAGGAGGTGATAGGCTTGTATAACAGCATGTCATCAGCATAGAGTGAGAAAGTTGACTTTTGAGAGAGATTAAGATTGGTGAGATCATTGATGTAGAGGAGTAATGGTCCAAAACTGAGCCTTGTGGAATGCCGGAGAAAACGAACTACAGTCGACGTGGAGGTGCTCACCGTCACCTAAAACATATGTTTTTTCTATCATGAGATAGCTAATAACCAGGAGAGAATGTTGGTGGTATAGACCAATTCGAAGACATTTGTCCATAATTGTGTGTGGGAACACTATCGAAAGCTTTCTGAAATCAAAAGAATACACAGAGACATCACAGTGCTGTCAAGAAGAGAGAACAGTCATTAGTCAGAGGAGTAGCAGAGTAGTGGTTGATTTCCCCCTTTGAAAAACCCCATTGACGATCGGATGATAGGTGCATGCTCGAGCAGATGAGTCCCAAGAAGTGCGTAAACAATTTTCTCCAAAAGTTTACTAACAATGCTCAAGAGTGAGATAGGCCTGTAGTTAGATGGATCACTTTTATCCCCGGACTTTGGAATAGGGACAATACTTGCTATCTTCCACATTTCCGGGAATTTCCTGATGCAAGGGAGAAGTAAACAATTGAGTAGTGGTGGAGCGATGCTTTTGGCTGTTGCTTTCAGCATGAAAGCCGATATGTGCCGTCGACATTGGCTTTATTGAGCATCCAGTTGAGTTCATGAGGGCAAAAAACCTCTCAGGGTGACTGACTCATGGGTTGGAAGGTCAGACGCTCGTGTAATCCCTCGCCCTACAGATGCAGATCGAGAGAGAAGGTAAATACGTGCATGAATGTGTGTTTTAAGCGGACCGTTTTGAAGACTAAAGTCCCAAGACTTTTCTTTTGGCTCACATCATGAGATTGCATAATAGGCTCTACACGTACATGGATGAGATCTACAGTCAAAACAGCAGAAAAAATACAGGACACAGCGAAATGCCACGATATGATTCTTCATGAGTGGCTGCTCCACCAGTTTTCCCCACTAGCAAAAAAAATGTCAAGTAGCGATGCCTTTACTGTGTCAACTGTAACAGTGTGATTCTAATGTTGAAAGCTGGAATTGATTTCTCTATTTTTATAAGCAGTTTTACAGTATCCAGAATCTTTGGAGCCATTATCCATTTACCGGTTTGTCAAATCCCTCTCTCTTTTCGTTCTCTAAGGCCAACAATCTTGTTTTCTAAGCTGTACTGTGAAAGTGAGCGTCTTCAATGATTCTTTTGCTTTCTTGACAAGAGGTTGCGCTTACGAAGGAGCTGTGGATGATGTGGTAAGCCAGGGAGTTACGCCTCTTTCGTAGATAACGACATGGATGGCACACCCCTCTCCCATGATAGCCTAGATATCTCTCAGAAAAATTAGCAGCTTTTACTGACACTAACACCAGTTAAAATACTAATTCCAGTCCGTTTCTGCAAATCATTCTGCCAAGCTTTCTCCATAGTAATACCCTGGCGGTAAAGCCAAACCTTGACACATGGCGGCTTTTAATTTCCATTTTAGAATCAGTGAAATCCCATATGATCAGAGGTTGATAGTAGGTGGAATGGTAGTATACATTCTTGTAAGCTGTTCGGGTTGTAACATTAACTAGGTTAAGCACCACCATGATGCCGGTGGGTTTCCTGATGGACTGATAGATATTATGGATGTAACACGTGGAAAAATCATTTATCTATCAAAATGAAGGCAGACGTATGATGGCTTTGCAGGGGCCGAGCAGCTCAAAAGGAAGCACAAGGGTGTCATTACACAGCAAGATGGACACAATCTACATGACACACCTGACCTATATCTTTGTCTCACTATATGAAACTTTACTTGTGATAACACAAAGCACATAGGGATGGGTGTCATGTAGCTTTGTGTCATCTTTGCATGGCGTTAGTGAGCGTGTATTTCTTCGTTGTTTGGTATGCTTCAGCATATCCTATAATATATGTCCCCCTTCATTTTGAAGAAATGATTTGAGATGAGAAATGATTTTCCTCTTATTACACACGGCTGCGCGAATGCGCAGCGTAGGATTTGTACACGTACTGGGGTCTGTCCGTGGTGTTGGATGTGTCTGTACTCTATATACATCTAGTCTAACTCTCGATGTCTGTGCGTCCCAGAAACGATAGCTACCATCTATCACGGCGGCGTAAGGTCAGAAAATATGTGGTGTTTTCTCTGAATGCAAAGTCTAGAGCGCTTCCAACATGTAGTACGGCTACTGCCGTAGTCGCCGCTGGCGCGATAAGGCGCATGCGCTATTATTTAGCACAGGCCTTAACTCGACATCGTCCGCTTGCTCTGTCTATCGTGAAGGCACATGAAGTCACAACGAATGGCGTGTAATCGACTCTCGTGTGCTATCTCTACAGTAGTGTCAGACTCTCTGCGAGCTACGTCGCCGAGTGTGTTGCACGTAGTGTCTTGTTGATTACACTCGGCGCGCATGCGCAGCGAGGGTTACGTTTGTGTGTCTGTCTGTCTGTTACTCGTCATCTCACTTCTCGAGTGTTCGTTCGTCTCACAAAGGATACCACCTACTGAACGGGTGACGAAGGTCAGAAAATATGTGGGGTTTTCTCTGAAAATGCTCAGTTGCAGAGGTACAGCGCGAAAAAGCCAATATGCAAATACACAACGGACGGGACGGCTACCACGGGTCTCGATCGATCCGCGTGCTCTGCGCTACCTCGGAGCACCAGAAGATGCAACGCGGGCGTGTATCGCCTCTCGCGTGCTATCTAGTAGTGTAGTTAGCCCGCGTCAGACTCAGCCCACGAGTAACAGCTAAAACTAAACCCAGCCCATCAATTAGTGGTACGGCGCATGCGTTTACTTACGCGTGCGCGTCACAGTGCACCGAGGGTTTACACTTCAGTGCTTTTTCATTTCACTATTTTTCATGCCTTATGACAACACTGCATTTTCAGTCACTCTGATGTTCATGGGTGTTGAACTGTTGAAAGCAGGAGCGAACGGTCCGTCTCCATTATGCGCAGTGGCTTTCTTTGCCTGCTACGGTACGCGGGGAGCTAATTGCGCTAGAGATCAAAACGGGCGTGAGCGGGGTAGTGCAAGGTGAACGTGATAAAACGTATGCTCAAAACGTGGCCACGCCTATTTATGTTTCGGGATGGCTCTAATACGCCTGAGCGCGCGTGCCGTAGGAGGCACCTTGCCGCATATGGAGACGGACCGTTCGCTCTCCTGGGTGAGTCGCGAACGGTTTTCTCTCCCTAGAGAATGTATTGAGTGAATCTGAATAGGCTAATAAGTTTGGGGAAACAGGCAGGAAAAATCCGAGAACTAATTAATGTTTTGTTGATTAGACCTAAATTCACCATAAATCACCAGTGTTTTGTTTTGCTGTGCCATGAAAAAAGTATCTGAAACATCACAATGCCCACACTAGCTACCATGGACGAAGTAGAAAACGTTCTGTACGCGTAGATCATCGAAATATGAAACAGCGTATGAACGGTGGACGGCAAAAAGGCAAAAATAAAGACCCCAGATACCATAAAAATAAACTACATAATAAAAAACATATGAGTGTTGTGATAGAAAACTGTATTGAATGAACTAATGGCCACTTTTAGCAGACTTTACAAGAGAACAAATGCAAAGCACTGAAGTTGCAACCCTCTGGCGCACTGTGACGCGCACACGCATGCGCCGTACCACTAATTGATGGCTGGTTTAGTGTAGAAAGCTGTCTCTTGCAGCTCGCGCACAGTGGCGGTGACCTGCGAACTACAACGACTAGATAGCATGACTAGAGCGACTACCGCCCTGCGTGGCACTCTTCTGGTGCCGCTCCTGAGGTACGCAGAGCACGCGAAAGGAGTCTCACAATAA